TTGTTACAGTTGATTTTTATTATTACAATACACAAATACTACTATAATTTTGAGGTAAGGCTATGACAATAACACATGTACAGTGGTAAGAAATATTAAGTGTAATAGATTGTGATCTAAGTTTAAGTAATGATAATGTCAATGATAATGTCATTGAAAAAATAAAAGAAAAATTAAAGGTAGAACATCAAGATGTGTATGAAGAGTGGGAGAACAACCAATTTGATGTAAATTACCTATTTTGTGCTGTTTATGATAATGACTTACGTACGGAAAGAGTTGACAAGTATATACTAGTGCACTTAGCTACTCGCAATAATCTGGAAAATTTAATAGGTGCTTTATTAAAGGTAAAAGGAATAAATATTAATGCAGTAAATACGCTGTCTTTGTGGACTCTTTTGCATCATGCTGCTGTATCTAACAGTGAAAAGGTAATAGATACTTTATTAAAGTCAGGAAAAATAAATGTTAACGCACAAAGCTGCATGGGATATACTGCTTTGCACATAGCTACTTGCTATAAAAGTTGGAAAGTAATGGCTGCTCTCTTGAAAGTAAAAGGAATAGAAGTTAATACAAAAGGTAGAGATGGCAGAACTCCTTTGCATGCTGCTGTATCAGGTAACTGCGATAAAACAGCCTTAAAAAATCTCATAGAAGCAGGAGCTAATATAAATGAAAAAGATAACAATGACCTAACTCCTTTACATCTTGCTGTTGAACATTACAATGCAGGCGCAGTAGAAGTTTTAATAGATGAAAGAGCTGACCTTAATGCACGAGATAAAGATAACAGAACTCCCTTACACCTTGCTATTTTATGCCGTTTTTGCCAAGATATTATGGAAACTTTAGTGGAAAAAGGAGCAGATGTTAATGCAAAAAATAAAGATGGCAAAACACCTTTACATCTTGCTGCTCAAGGTGGCAAAATAGATACGGTAAACACTCTAATAAACAAAGGAGCTAATATTAATGTAAAAGATAATAATGGCCAAACTCCTTTATATCTTGCTGCTGAAAATGGCAAGGTAAATATAGTCAAAACTCTAATAAACAGAGGAGTTAATATTAATGAAAAAGATAATAATGACAATACTCCTTTGCATCTTACCATTGAAAATAGCAAAGCTTCTTTTCTTTTTAGCACAGAAATAACTGAAATTTTAGTAAAAAGTGGAGCAGATGTTAACGCAAAAAATAACAATGACCTAACACCTTTACATCTTGCTGCTAAACATAGCAAGACATGTACAGTGGAAATTCTAATAAACAAAGGGGCTAATATTCATGTAGGAGATAACGATGGCCACACTCCTTTATGGTATGCAAATGGAAACGTGAAAGAGATTTTAATTGCAGCTAATAACAAACAAAAAGATACAAAAGTTGTTTTTAAAACTGCAGCATTGAGTGCTCTTGTAGTAGCAACAGCATCTGTAGCTGGTCATGCTGCATATAGAATGTTCCCACCCAGTGTTCAGATGCAAGATCCAATATTAGAAAAAAATAGTAATTCTCCTAGGCTCTGTGGAGAAAATTTTAAAGAAGCCATACAAGAGCACCAATAAAGTTCAAAAACCCTATAAACTGGGCTTACAAATTAAAAATCATTCCGAACTCAACTCCATGGGAAAGTTTCTCAAATTTCTGCATCTTGTAACCAGCAAAAACACTCGTTCTTGAAGAAAGTGGCAGGTTAACACCAGCACCTAGCTGATAAGAAAAAAAGCTATCAAAAGTCGTCTTCTTTTGTATGTTGGCCAGATTTCCTTTTGCGTCATCTTCTTTGATGGATAATACTTCGACCATGCCTGCACCAGCAGTAATATATGGAGTAACGTCCGTACTTGCAAATTTATGATGATAATGAAGTTTTGCCATAAGCCCCAATTTTACTCCTAATTCTTTCTTTTCTAGATTAAAGACAGGTTTAAGCATAGGGCCAACTGAAAATTTAGTGCTGTCTGTAAAGTGATAACCGACATCATAATTAATACCAGTATAACCAACTGACGAAGAAGTAAAAATTCTATCTCTAATCCAATCAACGCCAAAACATGGCTTTGCCAAACAAACAGAAGATAATATTGCTAAAGAAAGTAATTTTTTCATTTCTATCCCTTAAATACTAATATATGCTATATAAATATTAAGAAATAATGTAATTATTGGTTTAAAAATAGACATGCTCCTCTTTTTTTTGAACTGAACGTATATAACTGAGCTTATAAATTAAAACTTATTCCTAACTCAAATCCACGTGAAAATTTAAGGGATTTTCGTATCTTGTAACCAGCAAAGATACTAGTTCTTGAAGAAAGTGGCAGATTAATACCAACACCTATCTGGTAAGGAACTAAGAGATCGGAAGCTTTATTTCTGTCATAGTAGTCGGTTATTTTGGTAGCAATAATGCCTGTGCCAGCAGTAATATATGGAATGATACCCGTACTTATAAATTTATGATGGTAATGAAATTTTGCTACGAATCCCGTTCCTATCAACATATCTGCATCTGCCTGTGATCCTACTTTGTAGAATTCACGTAAAACAGGTTCGATTGAAATTTTAATGCTGTCTGTATAGTGATAACCTATCTCAGGTTTAAGAGGAAGAGTAGTACTAAACAAAGAGATATAAACTCTATCTCTCACCCAAGCAACGCCAAAACATGGCTTTGCTAAAGAAACAATAGATAATATCGCTAAAGCAAGTAATTTTTTCATTCTTATAAATTAAAAATCATTCCGAACTCAAATCCACACAAAATTCTCTCGAATTTCTGCACATTATAGCCAGCAAAAACACTCGTTCCTGAAGAAAGTGGCAGGTTAATACCAGCACCTACCTGACAAAGAACAAAGAAAGTGTTAATGTCAGTAATATCACCATGTAATACTTTAACAATGCCTGTGCCAGCATTAACGTAGGGAGTAATGTCCGTACTTGCAAATTTATGATGGTATTGAAATTTTACTATGATCATCTCTCCTAATCCCGCTCCATATTCATCATTATTCATCAATCCAATTGAAATTTTAGTGCTGTCTGTGTAGTGATAACCTATCTCTTGCTTAGCGCCAATAGTAGTACTACCCGAAAGAGAATAATAGATTCTATCTCTCAGCCAATCAATGCCAAAACATGGCTCTGCCAAAAAAACAGCGGATAATATCGCTAAAGCAAGTAATTTTTTCACTTTGCCTCTAAAGTATTAATATGTTCATATATACTATATAGATATTAAAAATAATATAATTAAAATGTAGAAATTAATATAATCTTTTGAATTTTAAGAGAAGTTTATTGAAAAATTTTATAGAATTCTTGTTTTAGTATATCATCCAATTCAGAAAATGAAATTTCAACTCGTAGCTTTTTCATTGACGTTACTCCATACCCTTGTAATCCACAAGGGATAATTCNTCTATAATGAGCAAGGTCTGGTGAAACATTAATGGCTATTCCATGGTACGTTACCCACTTCCTTACTCGAATACCAAAAGCTGCAATTTTTTCTTCTATTCCATTATTACTTACCCAAATGCCCACTCTATCTCTTTTATACTCTCCTGATATACCAAAGTATTTTAAAACATTGATGATCCAGTTACTCAAACTTTTAACATATAATCTGATATCACATTTGTTTCTTTTTTTTAGATTGAGCATTAAATATACAACGCGTTGACCAGGGCCATGATATGTGTATTTGCCCCCTCTGCCAGTTTTATAGATAGGAAAAAGTTTTTCAATAATTTCAGCATCTGTTGCACTAATACCTGCAGTATATAGAGGAGGATGCTCAAGTAACCACACCAGCTCATCTTCTAGATCATCATGAATTAATTTAATTCTCTCTTCCATGAATTTCACAGCATCATTATAATCAACAAGCTGATTAGATATTAACCATTCTACCATCTTTTTACTTTCAGTTAAAGTATCTAAGTATATATCCCTTTCTCAAGAGGTCTAATTTTTACCACA